CATGAAAATAATTGAATCTCTGTAAACAATGTTATTATTTATGAAAATATTAAATAATTGAATTATTGCAAAGAAATTTATTTAAAAAATTTGTAAATAATTGAATTTCTGTGAAATTTTTAGTATTTATGAAAATAATTGAATTTTGGAGAAGATTTTATTATTTTTAAAGATAATTGAAATTTTGACGATAATTTGTTTAAATTTTGGAACATGATTGGATTTCTGCAAACTTTTGTAACTTCTCTAAAATTCAATTTTCTTAGTGTTTTTAACTAAAATTCTTCTATAAATCCATGATTTTTAATAGTTAATTAAATGTATATTAAAAAATTAAATAAAACTAATTATGAATCTTGCAAATTTAATTTTCCCCAGAATTCTAATAAAAATCCCTGACTTTTCCCTGAATTTCCAGATTTTCCTGATCTTTGGCAACCGTGATATTTATAAGAGGAAAAATTGCATTAAAAGGAAAGGAACTCCTTTAAAAATGAAAATGAATTTTGTGCTTTAAATTCAACTTACATCTATATGTTATTTTCAAAACCGATAGAATCTAAATTCCTGTTTCAACACTTTTTTTCGCTTTTTTTCATTCGTATTGCAATTAATGAAAACGAATCATCGTGACACTGATTGTCGAAATAGTTAACGCTTCTCGCATGATATCCGCATATACAATCTAAAGGGGAATTTCACTCGAAAGCAGAAGTGGGGTCACTCGAACACGTTTTTACTCGAATTTAAGAGAAATTAGCATATTTAATTAGGCGAGCTGCACGCAAACACGTGATCATTGTGCGAATAGCTTTTAATCGGTTAGTTAAGTTCCACTGAATGTGATTACAAATTAATGCCAATGAATCTTAAGGTACATTTCTTTAAAACAGAAAGAGGAAAAAAGAACACCCGAAAGATTGAAAGAAAATTAAACGCCCTAATTACCTTGAGAGAGAAATAAGAGAAGCTCTTTTAACCCCAAAAAAGGGTTAAGAGCAATTTATTCACATAATGAATAAATGATTTATAATAAAACGTTTCATTAAATTTTTTTTCGTGGACACAGCAATAATATGAAAATTTATCATCCCATAAAAATTGATCTTCTTCTTTGAAACCATATTATAATTTTATAACGAGGAATTTTTAATTAATTTCCCAATATATACCCCTTTAAAAGTTTCTGCAAACTAATTTTAATAAGTTAAAATTATTTACTTTTAGAGTTTGAAGAATTTCCTTTTGCTCTTTTTATCAAAAGTTTTAAATGATATTCGGCTGCGGTGATTATGTCGAAACGAGTTGCCTTAACGAGTCTTGTTCATTAACCTCACGTCTGGGGTTAACACTCAATTTAATGAGCCCCAAAAGGAGAAAGAAAGAAATTGACGGTTCGCGTCCCTAGAGAATTAAAAAAAATTCTAATTTATTATATCATAATATTTTGCACCCATAATGATTTAACCTAAAGAGAATTGAAGCACTATAGAATAAAATTAATCATTCAATAAATTGTTTGACTTTTACTTTTTGAAACTATTAATTATTTTTATTCTCCGAATGGAAGAATTTTTTTCAGGATTCTTTTTTTATCAAAACTAACTGAATTTTTCAAATTAACCTTTACCGTATAGATACGTATGAAGTAATAGTTTGGAAAAAAAAGAATTCACTGAATTGGGATCATTCATATAATAATCTAGTTCAAACAAATTACAATAATTGATCATTATAGATAATAAATCTAATGAGGCTGTTAATTATTCTAATTAATAAAATAATTTTAATGGCATGAGACACAATCTGATTGTTACATTAATCCGTTAGATTAACTGTAACCTGTGCATTTAAAAAAAATGTGATTTTACTTATAGTTTCCTTATTTCACTAATATTATTATGTTTATTAGACTATGTAATAACTAGAAAACCAGAGCTTGAATCCTCTTTCAATTTGTGTCACCCATTCTTATATGCTGCATAGCACAATGTATCAAAAATTTCTCACGAGAATGTATAAATCTTCTTTCATTTTAAAGCACGATTTTCTCACTTAATCTCGGTAATTTAATTACCCAAGTGTCACAATTTCCCAACGTGACATTACTCTTGTTCAAAAATGTTTAATTAAAAAAAAACAGTTCAAAAATAAATGAAGTCAATAAAAAACAAAAGTTAAAATAAAGAAAATTTCGGAATATAACTTTTTTCAAACAACACTAATTATTCAAATTAAAAAAAATTGACAGTCAAAAAATTTGATTTACCTACAATTTATACTGAAAAACATGGAAAAGGTAATTTTAGGTGCAGTAAGTTTTCTAATTATCCAATAAGCCAAATTGTACATTATTGCAAACAGACATTTTAAATATAAATATGTTACTTTCAAAGTAAGATATTTCAAGTGCAGGCATTATAAAAATTTGAATTTTAAATACAAAATTTAAGATCGATTATATCGAGTTATTTCCCGCTGTTCTGATAATCGTTAGCAATACTTTATTAGCTTCCTGATCAGCAATTACACTTTCGATAGAAATGCGTGAACATAATTCACCCAGTATCGATGGAATGTTAACAATTTCTTATTCAAAATTAATTTTCTTTTTCATGCATGCATGTTGTAATGAAACTTAAAAATAATTAAATTCCAAAATTTCTCAAATTCACAACTATTTTTGTTTGATTCCTCTGTCAGATTATTTATAAAAGTCACACACTTAATTAACAATTTACTTACAAAGTAAAATCTTGCTTTAAAATTTTTATGTATAGCATAATTGTTAAATAAATTTCAATTTATTCATTAAATTAATTAATTTAACACTATAATTTTCTTATAATTTTTCCATATAATTTTTTTAAACATATAATTTTGGTAAGATGGTTCACACATGAGCTTGAAATTTTAATTGATTAAATTACTCTATTATTGTACTCTTAATAGAAAAAAATACCGTATCTACACTCGTCACTACACCGGAAGAAATAATTATAATGAATTGAGATATATCTTCATAATTATCTTATAGAATGTGTTGAAATATTTTGATACAATTTTTTCAGATTATTCTACTGCTACTCTCTCAGTCTATGATTACGTAAAAAATCGTCCCTTAATTTATATTAATAAAAATTTCTACCAATTTCTAGTAATTTTTCACTAAAACAGCAGTAAGAATTTAAAAAAAAATTTTAAACTACTATAAATGAAAATAGTAAAATTCTACTAAAATTTTTTACTAATTTCTAGTCATTTTTCACTAAAACTTCAGTAAAGAATTTACAACTTTTTAAAACTAAACGAAAATAGCAAAATTTTCTAACTCTACTAACAATTATTATTAATTAAAATTTTTACTAATTTAAATAATTAAAATTTTCTGTTTTTTTTCTAGAAATTTTTTAACTGAAACTTCAGTATAACATTTTAAACTTTTTAAAATAACTAAATGAAAAAGAAAAATTCTACTAAAAATTATTATTAAAATTTCTGCTAATTCTAGTAATTTTTTGATAAAACTTTAGTAAAAAATTTAAAACTTTTTAAAGCAACTAAACAAAAATAACAAAATTCTACTAGCAATTGGATAAAAATATTTTTAATTTAAAATAGTAAAAATTTCTACTGTTATTTATAATTTCTAGTAATTTTAGACAAAAGCTGTAGTAAAAAATGTGAAACATTTTAAAGCCACTAAACAAAAATAGTAAAATTCTACTATTAGTTAAAATTTTTTGAAATTTAAAAATTAGTAAAAATTTTTGCTTATTTCTAGTAGTTTTTGACTAAAACTTATTAAAAAATTTAAAACATTTTAAAGCAACTAAGAAAAATAATAAGTTTCAACTAACAATTAGTTACAATTTTTTGAAATTTAAATTAGTCAAAATTTCTAGAAATTTTTCACTAAAACTACAGTACAAAAATTAAAAAATTTTTAAAAGAACTAAATGAAAATACTGGAATTCTACTTACAATTTTTATTAATTTCTAGTAATTTTTTACTAAAGCTTCAAAACAAAAATTTCAAAGAACAAAAACAAAAGTAGTACTAAAATTCTACTAACAATTAGTTAAAAATTTTTTAATTTAAATTAGTAAAAACTTTTATTAATTTTTAGTAATTTTTCACTAAAACTTCAATAACAAAATTTTAAAACAACTAAATGAAAATAGTAAAATAGTAAGCTTCAAGTTTACTAAAAAAAATTAGAAATTAAAAAGTTGACAAAAATTGGTAAAAATGTTTACTATGAATTAGTGGCTCCACTTTTATTGCTTCAAATTTAGAAAGAGGAGACAGCAAAAATGAAATATTACTATTTTGTTTAGTAGTTACAATTTTTTTTACTAAACTTTAAGTGAAAAAGGACTAAAAATTAGTAAACAGAAATTTTACTATGAGTTAGTGGCTCAACTTGTACTATTTAAAAATATTAAGAAAGATGAGACAACAAAAATAGTTGTGAATAAATATTAAACGTTCTTTTAGTATAATTTTCTCAGTACTCTTTAAATTTGAATTAGTAAAAATGTTTATTAATTTAAATTAGCGACTGACTTTTTGCTTTTGAATTAGTAAAATTTACTAATAAATAGATAATTTCTACTACTTTATTAGTAAAATTTACTAACTCAAAATCAAAAAGTCATTTACTAATTCAAATTAGTAAACATTTTTAATAAATCAAATTTAGAGAGTACTTGTATCCTAAATTTTTCTAGATTTTTAAAGATCTTATAAAGAACTTTCAAGAAGGAAATTTAAAAAACCAATTTAGAAAACATCCTTAAAAAAACTTACTGCACCCGAGGGAAATGTGTCCAAAATATATGAAAAACAGAAAACACCATAATCAAAAAGAAAGAAAAAGAAAAAAAATGAAGAAAAATCACGTGTCACACTGAACCCGTAAAAAATATGATAATTAAATCCGCGGAAACTTTGTTTGACGAATGATTCACATGGTTGGAGTAGATTGTTGACTGACCTCGAAGACAGCAGTGCAGAAAAATCCCTAGGAGGAGGTAACGTCGCATCCTTCGACCTTCAATATTGGAACGGCACACAGTTGAAATTTTTCGTGATCTCGCGAGCGCACGACTGACTCTAAGCGAACGTGGAACGTGACAAGAGAAAAAGTTGGAGAGAAAGAAAAAGAGTGAAAAAAAAAAGATAGAAAGACAGACAGACAGAGAGAGAGAGAGAGAGAATTTTAATAAAGAAGGAGGAGGAGGCGGAGGCGGAAATGCCCTCTTCGACCTCTTTCGTCCTTCGAGGTCCACGAACAACTGTCGCTGGACAGCCGACGGTCCGGCTATAGCCGGACCGTCACAAAGGGGAAGGGGAGGCTATCGAGCACCACTTTCTAGGCCACCTTCTGTAACCCAATCAGGATGGAGATGTCAGTTCAGTTCAATTCCTCCAGGACCAATTAAGCCACCGATGGACATGAATTAATAATTGATAAGATTGATTATAATGAGAGAAATAAGGAGTTAAAATGTATGAGGAAACATCGGGAAATATGCATGAGAATGAGAAATAGTCGAGTTCAAGGTCCCTTGGCGCTTGATATAATTACGAGGAAGTAAGTGTGTCTCCTGGGGGAGAGTTCTCCAACGTTCTAGGTCGCAGACGAGAGCAATGTCATGTCAGTTGGATACATCTTCTGCACTTAGGCGCACCTGAGAGTTTCTTTCCTTTCATTTTGCACGACCTTCCAAGGAGATACTTCCAAGGAGTATTCAATCTCATATCTCTTAACTTAACTCGAGTCTCATCATCAACAACTTCATACCCTACTGCCTAAAACCCATCCTCTCTCACTCTCCCTAATTTTCATTATTCAAAATCACTTTTTTATCCCATTTTCACAGTTTTTTTTTAAAGCATATCGAATTGATGCCAAAAATTTGGATCCATATTTTTTATATCAATTCGTTACAATCTGATATTTTTAAGTTGATCTTACACCCAAGGAAGAAAAGGGGTTGCCATAAAAAATTAATTTTGTTTTCACCTGACTTTTTCCTAATTTCCAGACAAAATTTTCTCTTTTACCCTGACTCTAAAGAAAATTTTGATTCACTCTCAAAATAATTGTAGATTTATTCAAAAACATCAATAACTTCTTTTTTAAATAAATATTTAATCATTATTATATTTCCATAGGAATTAAGATTTCAAAAAAATTAAAATTCAATAACTTTTAAGAATATTATTATAAAACATGAAGACGTCGAGCACTCCGAGTCGAAGACTCTGAGCATTCGGCGATTTGAGTCTTCGAGGTTCTGAGCATTCAAGGATTTGAGTTTTCGCGGTACTAATAAATAGTAATTTCTACGAATTTATTAGTAAAGTTTACTAATTCTATTAAGCAAAAAATAAGTCAGTAATTTAAATTAGTAAACGTTTTTACTACTTCAAATTTAGAGTGTAGAATTTCTACATGAATTCTAGTAAACATTAGGCAAAAATTTACATAATTATTTTTTACAGATCTTATATAACTATTAAATTACCGCCCAGATGTCATGAAAATTCGCTCACTTATAAAAAATAAAGCGAATAGAGCATCAATAGATCAGAGCACAAAATCAATCCTTCAAACAAGAATACACTGAATAGATGTTACAATGCAAACGACGCTTTTACTAGAATCTTTGCTTGTCAATAATTTATTAAAAGTATTATTTAACATGTTTTATAATAATGTATATTCCCTCTAATTGACCATTAGTGTAAAAATGTCTAACTCGGCGTGACAAATTGATCAATAAAGAAAATTATAAATTATGCATACTTTATTAAGCTCTTATGCATTTTCATTAATTTTTTCTTAAAAATAATACTCCATTAAATACCGTTAATACATTACGACTTAATTATGACATGATTGGCACACCGCACACTTAATAAGGGGACTAGTTCTCTAAAAGGTTATATCAAGCTTTTCCAGCAATAGTGACCTCTTTTCCGTGAATTCATTTCAACTCTTCAGTCATTGATGTCAACCTCTGTTTCATTTTTGCAAAATCACCAGCGATACAAAACAGACTGCAATATATTTCCTATATCCTTTCTCTAACCTACTGTCTTCCCTGAATCGTTTTCATTCTCCCTATATTATACATAATCTTTTTCAACCAATAACATTATTACCAATATAGATATATTATTAAAAAGAATTTCCCATCGAATAAAGAATATATATATATACAAAAAGGAAAAGTTGCCTTCAAAATAGGAGGAATCCGTTAAAGATAGCTTTTTTTCTGAGTGTATACTTCTCGAAAGTATAACAGACATCATCCTTTTTTTATAGTCGTTAATAGTGAACGAATGGAATCAAAGCCATAAAATGAATAATGGAAGAGACTCTTGAGAATATAAAACTTGAAATCGAAGGAAAGTCATAGGAGGAGTAAAATTTTAGCCTAGTTTCCGTATACACTTCGGAAATATATCTATCCACTGAATTTCTTCCAAGAAATTTATCTATATTGTGCCAATCAGTATTAATATTGCACGCATGTGAATCCATAATATTCAAATGTTAGAAAGTTGAAAAACTATAAAAAAACAACAATATAAATATTTTAAACAAAAAAAAATAACTTTCTTCAAATGTCAATAATTTCTCCCAATCGTCCGAAAATGCACATACACTTCAAATGATTCTCGGACTTAGAAAGCACGAGATATTCTTAGAAGTGAATATGTACAAATGAATATAAATATCCATCATTATGTCCATACACATAATATACAATAATAATACAATTTATATAATTAATAATAATTATGCATTTAATAACATATTATTAACGAACAACTGATGTGTAAATGTATTTACAAAAATCTTAAAATGATTAAATACAGGAATTTTAACATCCTTCCATATGGTAAATACATGTTTTCCTATACATACATTTAAGAATTTTTCATTCCCTAGAGGATATACAGAAAAGTGAAAATATAAGCAAGTACCAATAAGGTCAGTGTTTACCTTCAGGCAAATCTTCTCGGCTTTTACATTTTACTAAAAGGTTTACTCCGATGTACCAGTTGCAGGCCTCGGATTGAATTTAGAAATGAAAAATAGACACAAAAATTTAATTTAAACCTTTTTGAAAATTTAACAACTAATAAAAGAATTAAGGATGACTGAGTTTTCAAACAAAAATTTAATTAAACTTTGTCAAAAAAAATTAATTCCACAGAATTGTGAGTTAAAAGTATGAAAAATTCATATTTTCAAAGACTTTAGTTTAAAACCTTATCTAAATTCAATTATCTCTAAAAAATTCATGATATAATGCTTTTAATATTCAATTATTATCTAAAATTTACACTAAAATTCACTTTTAAATCAATTATTATTAAAAAATCGATAAATTACGTAAAAAATTTTTTAAATTTTGTAAAATTACGATATTTTATGACGAAAAAAGAAATATAATTATAAATACACTTGTTACATTTCATAAATTTCTGTCCATAAGAGAGGCTTTTTTAAAAAAATATACAAAGTTGGATGACAGTTTCTAAAGGTATTGAAGGTTGATAAAAGACTGATGCGTGCATCCTGAGCAAAACTCTTCTTCCGGTTAATTCAAGATTCATTCAAAAGCCGACAAACAAAAACTCTAAACCTCACGGAAGTTAAGGTGTCAGAAGAAAGGATTAATGACAGAAAAAAATAGTATACACACTAACACACTTATTATTTTTTGCCTACATAAATCATGAAAAATCAGCGAAAAAAAAAGTCTATACACTTTCTACTCTTTCAACTAATAAGGAAAAATTTACTGCTGTATATGCATCAAATTTTTTCTTTTTATTTCAGATTTTATCTTCTTTAATAAAAAGAACAACTTTTGATCCTAGATATATTCGAAAGGAGAAGTGACATATAAAGAGAAGATCCGGTTAAAACAAAAATATTTCTCTCGATTCAAAAAGAATCAATTTTCTCTCCAATTTGAGAAAAAATAGAAAAATTTCCCGATTTGAATAATTTACTCAATATTGAAATAATCTTTCCACCTCGATTTCTACTTTAAGAAGAAAATGTAGATAGAAAAAAATAAAACTGCTATTACTTGTAAATATTAATGCTAATTAATTAATTAATAATTTAAAGAAGAATTATTTACTACTTGTTTTATCTTAATGAAAAGATTGAAACGTAAATATTCAAATGTCATGTGTTCAAAACAACGTCTTCTAGAACTTTCAACGATGATTGACATATGAAAAACTGGATTGTCAACTTGTTTCATCTTTCCTGCGAAGAAAGCCTGTCAAGATGAAACAAGATAACATCTCGTTATCATTATGTTATCGTGTAGTTGGCATAATTATCGCCTCTCTCATTTACTGATTACAAATAAAAAGATTCTGAGTAGTGCCAATGGCAATTATTCCATCACAAACATTTAAACCACTATTTTACATGTCAATTTCCTAATAGATTTTTCTACCTAATGCAAAATTTATAACTCACTTAATATAGTTGAATCTTGAAATAACTTTATTATCCTGATGATATCAAGAATTGTAAATATCGTGATAGAATCAATTTTATCGACAATAAAAATAAGTGTAAAACGAAAGAAATTTTATAAAGACAAACATTTAATTACGTTTTTCCCTGACTTTTCCCTGATTTCCAAACAAAATTTTTACTTTTTTCCTGACCCTAAAAAATATATATACTGAATGACTAAAAATGATTAGATACTCAAAAGAATTTTCTATTACATTTATTTACAAATTTCTTTAATATTGCGAAATTATTCGAAGATGATACTTTTTTTAAATAAATATTTTATCACTAGCTATCGTACCCATCTTCGACGGGTTTTATAGTTTCTACCAATACATTTAACAGTATTTCTACCAATCTGGAAAATCACGAAATAGCCGAGAATTTAATTTGACCGAAAAAAAATAATAATTAGTTACCATTAGCTATTTCGATAGGAAAATATTACTTATTTAATTGTCTCCACCCTTTGGTAAAAAATCTGAAATTATGGAAAATTATCAAAAATTCAAAAAACCGAATTTCTTAAAATTCAACATTTTTCCTTCTTTTTTATTGCATTTAGCTTCATTATTTTTGTGCTCTTCAAAAATACTTTACTTATTTAATAATCTCCACCCTTTGGTGAAAAATCTAAAATTATAAAAAATTATTAAAAATTCAAAAATCCGAATTTCTTAAAATTCAACAATTTTCCTTCTTTTTTATTGCATTTAGCTTCATTATTTTTGGGCTCTTCAAAAA